TGCATATATAGGTATATTGAGGCGCACGTGCTCGCCATCATCCCTCCAATTGCCACCACCCCACCTTCACAGCAGTTGTACGGAAGACAATTGTTAAGTGAATGTAGAACCGAAAGTATGTGAATATAAAATTATCTTTGCCGTTGCAAAGACGGTCAAGTATCCTTCGGCTGCCGAAACGTTAACCTTAACATCCCACGTTCGATATTCCTATAAGTCATAGTCACTTCATGAAATTCATCTTTTCTTTGGAAGTTGTCCATTTAATTAAATGGAAATGCCTTTTTCACTTTTCATAAAATATGGAAATGTCTTACAAAAAAATCACTTTTTCATGAAATAGTCACACCAATTAGGCATCGAATAATTCTTTTTCAGAATGTGGTTATTCACTTGGTAAAATAATACGTTCACCACACAAAATAAATCTTATAGTTTATCCATGTCATATCACACAAGACATTTTTTAAATAATATAATGTAATTTTAAGTTTTATTTATATTCAAATATGTTAAATTATATGCAGTAATATATATAACCTGGGGCGGATTGGGTGTTGAGTAGCCCGGAAGATTAATCAACAATTGGGGCCCGGGATTTATACTATACTTATATAGCTGTAGAAATATTATGTATTATATTTTAGACGATAAATGTTTTTAGTCAACTGATTACATATRTAATAATATTTTACTAGTAGAGTTCTTCAAATTTAAAAACCCGTGACAACATTATTGTTATATGTATAGTAAATTAATAGTATTTAACAATTATATTTAAAATCATAAATAATTTTTAATTATATGACATTAGCTAGGGCCCGGGAGGCGATTGCCCCCTTGACTCCTTGACCAGTTCACCTCCGTATTATAACTGCTTAAGTCAAATTAAATAATATATAAATAATAAATACTTATTTGAAAAAAAGAAAAACCGTACTTAGACATAGTTAAAAAAATTATTTATGTAGATAAAATGCTGCAGAAAGATGCTGGGGTACTTGCCAATTACAAAACGCCACGCGTCGGTCTAGGCAAGAAAAGTAACAACTATCTCAATACACGAACATCAAAACACGCGTACTGACTTTTAATTCTTCGTACAATATAGAATCTAAATATCATTCAATTTATAACCGTACAATAATTGTTGGTAAAGATAATTAAGATTGTTATAAACTGTAAGAAATATTTTTTTCTAACCCGCTTCTTATTTAAACACGGTATCAACCTACAATATTGCATTTATAAAAATAATGCAATTTTTGAAAATCATATAAATATAATTACAAATTTTCAAATAGGTATGTAATTTTCTTGAAATACGACGAAATATTCGTAAATATTCAGTCAACATTTTTATTGTTTATTTTTATTTATTTTTAGTACTTACAAAACAAATTTTTATACCTTGCTTAGAATAAATTACAACCACCCCAAAAAAACTAATCGCAACCTAACAAATCCTACTTAGTATGATCAATACCTAATAATAATAGTAATAATTGCGTGTGTGATTAGTTTATTATTTCACAAAGTGAGTTATATTGTGAAAAAAAATTACACGATGTCAAAATGAAGTAACCATTTCATAGAAAAGTGACAATTTCGTGAAATATTTTAGTATTTCACAAATTGTCAAAAAGCCATTTYTACTTTATGAAATGGACAACTTTCATAAAAAGATCGATTTCACGAACATATTATTATATACYTTTTTGTTACTTCGGCGAACGACACTCAGGTATAGATAATAGTTGTGGGCGGCAGGTGTAGTATAGGGAAGTATGTATATGTATGCGTATGAAAGTGTGTACACCACACCACACCTTAGTAACAGTGGGTGAAAAAAAAACCAATAATAAATAAACACGGACATTTTCCAAAGGGACGGGGGGCACGAGCCACGACCGTAGCTCGTGAACACTATACCTACAAATACGATAACGCGTGCGAGCGAGTGAGGGGACTACGTACACACTACACACATGATCGTTAGTATTCCAGTTTATGTCAATGAGGGCGACGGTGGTAAGTGAGTGTGAAAAATAGAGGGTCTTATAAAGGTTTCGGTAATTATTTCGTTAAATATACTTTTATACGTCTGAAATAAACTTCAATAACAATTAAAATTCATGCAAATACACTAAACGCGTTTGTACAAACTTGATTAAAATTGCACACAAGGCCGTTATGTTTTTTTTTACTAAATAGACGCATGCTTATATATATAYACATCATGTACAGTGAGCAGCATGGAAATATACAATGTGAAATTTTACGTAAAACATTTTTTTGTAACTTAATTTTAATTCAGCGTCTAAATAATGGAACCTATCTATGTACAAAAAATGTAATCGACCAATATGTCGTTCCTGGTTTTATTACAAGAGTTTCACCATATATTGTTAAACATCATCTATATTAAGCTAACTAAAAGATAAGATAGGTATATATTACAATATTTGACAACATGTGTCATAAACTAAACTTAGTTTTACGTGTAGCATAGGTACTTTATGGATTAAAACATTGACAAAAAATAATTTATTAATGCATTTATTTTATTTTATTTACGTTCGTGATCCATACGTATGATTATTTAACTGATAACTTTTTGTGAATACAACAACCACAATTGTATAAACGAATTTATAATTTAATCGGATATCTTAGTTATATTAGAATAAGATATTGCGTTTTCTATTGTTTTGATATCATTTGAACTTAAAATGGTTGGTATATTTTGGACAATACAAGTAAACACACAAAAATAAACCGGTCAGCTGCAGCTGCTGTCAGTACACACAAAGCATATTGATACTTTAGCGGCAGTGATGGTGAGTTAGGTGTACACATCCAGAAAAGACGACAGCCGAAATAAGAAAAACGCACTATGGTAGTAACCGAGTGACCGCTGTGTTGGGGGGAGAGGGGGAGTTGTTTACGGAGGCGGTAGCCAGTAGTGGTGGTAGAGCTGGATTAGTTTTCGAAGCTCGTCGACCAAGGTTAGTACTAGGCTGGCCAGATGGGGGAGGTAAGAGGGCCACGTTGCAGTGACGGTGGTGGTGAGCTGGTGAGGAAGGCTTGTGCCCATGTCAAAGTAAACAGTGGAGAAGGAAGTGGTAGCCATTGAGTGGTGGAAGAGTGGTTGAAGAAAGAGAGAGAGGATTGATGGGACCAAACGTGTGTGCCTCCGACTATTACTGCACATAGTATTCGGGGGTCGGGGTAGAAAGGGGAAAGACATACACACACATACACACACACACATCCACACTTTCCCCAGGATGCATGAGTTTGTGTGTGTATGTGTGATGATGAGAGGAAAGTAGTAAAGAGTGAGCCTTGAGTGAGCGAGGTAGAGAGGTTTTGCCTCAGGGGTTTGTGTAGATGGCTGCCACCGAGCAGTGATGGGTATGCGGTCCGTAGAGAAGTGGCGGTAGTGGTGGTGGAGGTGTGTGATGGCTACGCGAAGAGACTACACACGCTATATATA